GTTTCTTTCCCCCCCCCCCCCCCTCTCGCTCTCTCTTTCTTTCTCCAAGGTCAACGAGCACACCAACGATAAGATAACCGATTGATTTATTTACTTAGTGGCCGGTGTTGCTGGAATGTATGGATTAAAGTCTCACATGTTGCATTATCTGTTATTTTTATCACCATCGCGCGACATCATGGCAGAAGCACAAATTGAAATTAGTTTGCAAGATATCACGGAGGGAAAAGTCGCTGTATTCAAGTGGCATGATAAACCAATCTTCGTTTACCATCGGTGAGTGATGCAAACTTATCCCTCTCTCGCTCCACTCCTAAATTTCACAAATAATCGAATACGTTTCAGTCCGCAATCCATTATAGAACAAGAACAGCAAGTGAACAGCGTGGAACTGAGAGATCCTGAAAGAGACGAGCAAAGAGTCCAGCGACCACAGTGGTTAATAGTAATTGGGATTTGCACGCATCTTGGTTGCATACCTATTCCTAACGCCGGTATCATTCCTGGGGGATTTTATTGTCCGTGTCACGGCTCTCATTTCGATGGAGCTGGTCGCATACGCAGAGGACCAGCACCTACAAACTTGGAAATACCCCCGTACAATTTCATCACCGACCATACCATTCGCATTGGATAAGTCAATTCTATTATCTTATACTCTGTTCTAGTCACCACGACATCGCTCCATGTTTCTTCATTCTATTTCAGTAGAAAATAAACAGATTTTTGACAAACCTTCCTCTCCCCCCTATCTTTTATTTCCACCTCGATTTATGCCTATCTAAAGTACTTTTAATGCCTATTTTAAGCGTACTTACTTCGGAAGAAACATCGAAAGACCAGAAATTAGGTTATAGTTATAGGTTATAAGTGCTTTCCGAACGAATGTCAAACAGCGCCCCACGCGTCGGCCATTTCCGATTACGTTCGGTTTACTTCGATCGCCGCTTCTTATTACATCGTTCTACGGTTTACGTGCGTGTCGCGTTTTGTGATTTTCTCTTTCTCCTCAGCTTCTTCCCTATTTTCATTTCGATCGCTGTGCATATATATTCCCTATAGCTGTTTCGCAATGACGCCACCCATGGAGAGAATACAGATCCTGGAAACGATCGAAAAGGAAATTATAGTGTGTTTACAGAGTGCAGGTGATAAATCCTTATTTCCTTTCGAACCTACAACAATGGGAAAATGCCGTTAACGACGATCATTTTAAAAGATATAGTTTTCATCACTCTACAGGACAAGCTTTCGTGGAGCTTAGTAAAGAGAAATCCAGCTTGAAACAGGCCGAAGTACAAACCCAACAATTTTTAAAAACATTAGGACTCGTCGAATCGAAATTGAGCGAACAAATAAACTACCTCACTCAAGTTTCTACAGGTAAGTTGATCTCTTTTCGTTTAACGGTTCGCTTAGGGGAGAAAAAGAAAACGAAAACACTTCCACTCGCTCACCTCTCGATATACGTACGAATCTCTAATTTACGTTAAATCTTCTCAGGGCAACCACACGAAGGCTCTGGATATGCCAGTCAAAAAGTGCTTCAAATGGCATGGCATAGGTTAGAACACGCACGGAGCAGAGTAAACGAATTGGAACGTATTAAAAATAAACCAAGATGAACGCATCGACGAATGCTTTTGTCGGTTGATAATTATTTCGACGTATCGTAATCGTAATTCTGATACTTTAATCAGCCGTCACGATTTCAACATCTTACGATTGCGATCGCGCGTCCATCTATTATTTTTCGTTTCCCTTTCTGTAAATGACACAACCGCCAAACTGCCTACCAAAGGAATGTACAAAGGAACATTCCCATTGTAAAACTAATATTCGATCATGCCGAATAATACATACGACGAATGTAATTAAAACACCGACCAACCATTACGTCAAGTATTTGTATTTTTTGTCCAATGGTCACCCGAGAAACAATCAAGGCACCGATCCATCTACTACACCCATGCTACGTTTCACCGTAGCGGCTAAAGATAGCCTCGATCTTCTCTCTTCGTCCAGCTGTTTCGTCAACAGCGACATTTGCGACTGTAAATCTGTCATTTGACTTTTCAATGTTTTCACCGTTTCCGACAATATCCTACGAAATACGGAACGAACGTGTATGCGTGAAAATCGCATTTTACAGTTACATTAGTATATATTAGACAGCAATCACCACGTGTTTGTTTACCTGTTACTACAAAAATCCCAATTCCCTCGATTATGTATCAAAGACGTTCTGTCCCGTGCTTTATGCGAATCGTATTCCAGCATTGCTAAATCGCAAAATACAACGTACGATACATGAACATGATACTATACAGCAAAATAATTACAGTTTGAAAAAAGCAGTAATGTAATCAACGACCTACAAGCTGATTCTCCTGAGTGAACGGTGAATCTAGCATTAACAGAAAGGCAATAGGCCTCGATCACCTTCAATATGATCGCATCCTCTTCGAATTGTCTTTCGTCTGCAACGGATAAAGCGAATTTTAGTCTTGCTATCGATACCACACGCATATATTTTCCGAGGCGCTCGGTTTAAAAACTTTCAATTCGTACTACACGATCGTGGTGTGCGCGGTGATTCCAAACCGGTATCCATTTTACCAAATGCTCTGAAAGTGTAGAAAGGCGGTGCTGGTCGTAACGAAGCGATGCCCCAAGGTGTTCTAATTCCTAGAGAGGGACAATGTTCCATCATCGATCTTTGTTGTTGTTGTTGTTGCTGCTGCTGCTGTGGTTGTTGTTGTTTCCCGTTTTGTTGACTGCAAATCTGATAATTCGGAACAAGAGACACGAATTAACGAAATGAAAGCTTCGTTTAAACGATAATTAAACAGTTCGCCGTGATTATTGTTAATGTGAAATTAATCTCGTAACATGCACTTATTACTCGTCCATTGTCAATCGTATGAACGACACAGAGGGATCGTAGATGAATTTGAAAGTGAATACGAAAGTGAAGACGGATCTTTTGTTTCGAATTGGAATTCGCAAAATGCGTACCGTTATTAGCAAAGCGAAAGCTTACTTCACACAACATGGCTGTGAAACGAAAGCATACGCTCGTTATGTATACTAAAGGCATATAATGTATGTATGGTAAGGTACAATTAGTGACAAAATGGGTATGAAAACGTTAACTGAACGAGAAAAAATGAAGAAAGAGAGAAGAAACAGCCATGCCATGGAAGCTTGCCTTGATCTGAGCATCCAGACAATGGTATGGATTTCTTCAACCACCAATGAGCATACAGTCCTGACGTATAAATTTTATTCGTTCCATTGTAATCGTCGTCGCCGTCGCCGTCGCCGTCGTCGTCGTCGCCGTCGTCGTCGTCGTCGTCGTCGTCGTCGTCGTCGTCGTCGTTGTCGTGGTCTTTGTTGTCGTTGTTGTCGACGCTGTCGTGTTCGACGACAGGACAATTTGGCTGAAACGCTTTTCTTCCAACTTTTCGTACGATGGTTTGATGCAAATACGGTATCGGTTGCGTAAACCTTCTTTGCATCGTATTATCCAAAGATATGTAAATTGATGCGTTCTTTTCTTGCCTTCGTACTTGATTCGTAGAAGGATGATCAGTGTGGTGGGCTCTCGCAGTACTCGCATCGCAGATGATCAAACGATCCAAAGTAAATGCATCGACGTGTTTTTTGGATAAATTGGACGAGTGAGCGCTGTCTCTGGGAGTAGAATCGAAGGGCGAAGTGCAAACGCATTGATACTCAAAATTATTCTCGTCGTTCTCACTTTCGCAGGAAGAGTGTCTTATAGGGCTTTCGATATCGTGTTTGTTACCAATGTACATATACGATTTACAAGATGAATTAATTTCAGAAGAATTCAATCGATAACTCCCTGCCATTCCCGAGTCCGACGAACCGATACTAGCGACGGCATTCGCTTGGAAACCAAATTCTACCTCTTCTCCAGAGCACCTTTGAAATTCACGGTCAACGATGATGTTCGAGTTATTCGCATCAACGGTCTGATGATGCGAGGACGCGGAATCTATAGGGGATCCGATGCTCCTCCAACAATTTACCGCAACTGTTGCATTGTCAACGTCTTCCTTTATTTCAGCGAGTTTCTCTTCACGCGAACTACCAGCAACGATTGGACACGAACGGGGTAAGTCGCGATTGAAACGCGATCGAGAAACGGGTTCCCCGTTAGCTAGAGTGACGTCGTTTGCGTTATTATTATCGATGAGAGTAGCGGTGCTGGAACTTGGGACACAAACCGATGGCATACTTTTGCTAGTCTCGCGTACGCTATTTCGCGTCGATACACACTTTGAATCTTTTCCTATTCCTACAGTACTAAGATCAATATCTCCTAATGCGTACTTTACGTCGAGAGTTAGGGTAGATTTACGCAACATCGTCTTTCCAACAGCAGGTGACTGCCGTTCCCCCTTCGACTTATTCGCCCCGAAGCTCGATACGTCAGAGTCGTTCGTACAACGATCCTGCTGGCTATTTCTTCGTATCGGATAAAGGACATAAGTCGTTACATTGGCCCTTCGCATTTTCACATTACTCATATCCGGCTTCAGAACGTATTGTAAATAAAGCAATTTTTTCAAAAGTTCAGCACGTATAATCTTTTTCTTGACTAATTTCGCATAATACCTCGATAGACGAGCATACGGAGGTATACTGTAACTCACGCGTGACGTCGTCGACGATTTCACAAGACTGTTGTTCGTCGTTTGTTCTTGAATCAAAAGTTCGATCCACCGCTGTTGATCTTCTTTAGTGGCACAAAGTACCAATATACTCTCGATCATCGGCCCTATAGTTAAACAAACGTTTGAAAATTTTTCTCACGTTTCAATCTCAACCGTGAACAAACTCTATCGCTTGCCTGTAATTTCAAATGCATTTCTCATTTCGTCCGTATCCTCTGTCTGGGTAATGGTAATTCCCGTCAATGGAAGTTTTCCCTGCGAATGAAAGAAAAAACGTGCAAGTAAAATACGCGATCGTGCAACCGAAAATGATCGAATATACTTCGTAGACGAAGGAACTCATCCTCGGGCTGGTGCTGAGAACCAAAAGAGTCGTAGGAAAAAGAACGAAATATCTGTCACGACGATCTAATCCGGTTGTACCGGTTGCCAAAGTAACAGACCCGACGTAAAGAATTTCCCCGAGAGAGCTCAATTCCTCTCCCTCCCATCCTTTAATACCGCTGGTTAATACTTGAAGCGCCAGTTCACGTTGTTTTCGTATCGAGGCACATCGATCCTATGCAAAACAAAAGGAATAGCTCCGTATCGTGTGAAAAGAAGAGAGTAGCGAGGGACGGTGGTTGAACGCACGCAGAATGAATACATCGAACGAATACACGCAACAACTCACCGCTATTTCTCTGTACACAGCTATACTACGTTGCGTGTCACCTCTATCAGGGTGATTCTTTTCCGTGTATCTTTCCAATTCTTGAAGCATAGCTGAATATTTGTCCAGTCTTCTGAACGGTTTACTCAAACCAGTCGTTAATACTAATATGCCGGGCGATACTGCTCCACTACGTTCCATGAAATCGTTTAATTCGTCTCTAACAAAAGAACGACTCTCTATAGTTTGTTAAACGTTACTCATTCCAACATCTAGAGACGTTACCTATGCCGATCTAAAATGCATACAGCCCGCGGGTGATTTCCACAGTAGGCAGTATGGATGGATTTTAATTTTGGAGCAAGCGTTATAAAAAGATTTCCAACCCTTGTAGCGCATCCTTGTGTCATAGCTGTTTCCAAGCTGGATAGTAGACGTTGATGAACCTCAAGAATTTCATGTATATTACCTAAAAGTTGCTTGTACTCCTCTTTGTTCAGTCTAAACTCAGGATATGTGACAAGTTTTGCTTTTAATGCAGCGCATGTTACATTCTATATATATATACTGAACATATATATCGCACATACTTACATATTGGCAGGTTCTAAAGGATGCAAGAAGCTATTTATCAAACCCTGCAATTCTGCTACGTTCACTCTCTCAGAGTCTGCTATATCCTTTAACACGATGTCACGATTGAGTTTTTGATGGGCTGGTGATTCTTGCAGAATTTTCTCTGGAGAAGCTTTCACGCTAGACATGCTGCTGCTTTCTTCGAGAGAAACCAGGCGTGTAACAAGAAACGGTAAGAATTATTTCTAAAGCTTACATACAGACTATTTTGGTGTATAACACGTACCTGGAATCCTGCATTCTTTTACATAATTGGATGGAAACCAGCCTGTTTTGTCGTTCAAGGTACCCTCCCACCAACCTTCTTCGTCGGTCTGTGTTATCGCTATCACATCCCCTTTCTTAAAACACAACTGTAGCAAGAACAGGGCAATGTTTAAAATTGGAAAGCATTATTCTTGGAGAGAATAAAAGGAGGATATGACAGAAAATGAAACATACTTCGTCGTTGTTTTTCCCTTTGAAGGGAAACAGTGCAGTTACAAATTTTGGTGCGTCAGACTTTGACATGATCGTCGAGACGAATGTGACAAGAAAAGGAAAAGAAATAAGACGGAGGTGAAAAAGAATACGACAAAGGAGCAACCGCGAGAAAATCTAACGGTGCAGTTGCATTCTGCGAAGAATCGTTGTTACTCGTTGTCCTTGGCCTTTCTTCTTTTATCAATTCAGTTTCACTTTCAGTTTACACTTTCAGTTAACACTTGAAACGATACGACGTCGAAGAAATCGTACATATTCGTTACATATACGCTTCGTATCGCATCGTTCGACTTTGGGGCGAGAATACGTTTTGCAAATCTTATCCTTGAACACTCAATGACATTCCACCAAGTGATAATCGTACACGTTTCACTTTCTTTTTTGGCTATTACACACGGTATACCTCGACGACCGTACACGTGACCGATCTCTTTCAACTAACAGTTGATTGGGAGGTGTCGCGAATAAAGAAAATGGGCAATTAGTGAAAAATAAGCGTAACGTAATCATTCATATAACGTAAGAAACGAAGAGGTTAGTCTTATATACAGATGGCTGTGACATCTCTCAGTAAAACTATTAATACCCTATACGTATGCAAGCAAGCAGATGCTTACGTGCATGTTCTCAATTTCGTAAGCTTACGCAGGTTTTCACTTATATATTTGCAAAATGTATCGAATGAAAATTGACGGTAAAAGTGATATACAAGTGATAGGAAAATATGTAGGTGTAATAACATGTCGAAAAGAAAAGACGTTTGTGTATCGTTACGGTAGTTAATATTACGTACAACTACTCTACGTAAAAAAAAATGGGTAAGAAGTGTGTTGAAAAGCTTTCCGTTAAATCGCATTATTGTACGGAAAAGCAAACTTGAAACTTCGCGATGTCATCGCCTGATCAAATAAGGGAAAAATACGTAGGTGGTTAGGTCATCCCTCCTACACTTCTTCGGCCTTACACTGCCGCCATTTCAGGAGAACTTGCGGTGTAGGTAAATGATTCAGACAAATAACGTTGAATCAGTTGTCGATAATGTAGCTCGTTGATAAAAGAACAGGAAACTTCCATATCAGAAAATCGCGAAAAAATTGTATACATAAGTATGTATGTGTAGGTATCTTTATGCATATGCAAATTTAATAAAAGAGGATTTTCTACTATCTTTCACGGTTGAATTATATCATGTCATTTCTAAACTCACCGCTTTATATCGTAGAGGGCATAACAAATCTTTTGATTTTTTACACGACCGGTATGTGAGAACGTTGGACAGAAAAATACATGAAGTGCAAGGTCTATCCTGTACATCGTCTATGATAGTAGAGAATTTAAGTGATTAACGTAGAATTTTGTTGGTTGATTTGTGCGATTAATTTTTGCGTAATTGTTATCGAAAGATGGTGATGTACCGCCAGTAGTCGTGCTCACCACGAAAGGTAACTGGTCGAGGTATTTAGCAATAGAGAAATGAGTAATGCAAGGAAAGTGATACGGGTAGACAAGGGTAGCACTCGAGAAACGAGTTAGACAAGGATAGAGAATTTTTCACGCGTAGGGCGTGAGCGGGTGAAATCTGCAGCGCCGCCATTTTGTACGTTTCAGGTGCAGGGTCAATCGAGCGAAAACCTCCATGGTGGAAGAAACAGAATAATAAAAGCAAGAGTGAAGTAAGAAGATTGTAATTTAAAACAATTTACAATTCTGTTAATTAATAGTTGAAAACATATTTCGTTAAATATATTCATGCTAGTCAGAAAGTACTCGTACGGTAGAATCCCATGTACTATTTATTTATTTATTCAGTTGAACGGTTGTAACCAGAGTCTTTTTCCGCGTTCTATGCTGTGCCGTTGCGAAACCGTTCGAGCCTCCAGTACATAAGTACTTAGTACTTTACTTAAGTAGTCCAAACTGTCCTAGGGAAGGGCACACGTGCATATTAATTAATGACATCCTCGAGTATCCGTACTCTTTCTTTTCCTGTAATCCTGGGTGACGAAGCGTGGCCACCACTCCGCCGTCCAAGTTTCGCGTCTCCTACTCCTCCAATTTCCTACTTCCCGCTTGAATCGTGAAAGTAAAACAGGTCTACGTATCAAATCGCTACATGAAAAGTAAAATTAACGCCATCTCGTGTTTGGCCACGCGAACTAACGGCTCGTTACTCGGAACACAGAATGTGAACAGAGGTATTAGACAAGGAACGCACTACTGTGCGAGAAGGATAGAGAGAACGTTTCCTATTGGCTAGCGGGCACTTAAAATCCGCCTTCTGGACGCCATATCTGGACGCCATATCAGATCGCCATATCGGCGAGGTAAAAATCACGAATAACTCAATAATTAGGATGATTTTGCGAACTTTTAGAATCGGAGAACGCAGTGTGGACCTTTAGCAACTTTCTCATATAGATTTTAATGCACCCCTTTCGCCCTTTCGGTAATTAGTTGTTAATAATTTTAGTACGCGATGTCGGGAACGATACCGCATACGTTTACAGTTTTTCAATAATTTCATAGATTTCTACTAAACTCTCATGGAACTTTCTATATGCGTCTGATAGGTAACTCCTTCGGCAATATTCTCGTCTGATTGTTATTAACATATGAGGTTTAGTTTAAGAGTAATTAAACATTATACCAGAGAGTTCCCTATTAATCGTGTTCGAGGAGTATAGTCGAATGCTCTAAACAATTGCTAATATCTAATAAACCACGTTACTTACGGCTACCAAAATTATCGAAGAATATAAATAAAAGTCCATTCTAGATTGTACATGGTTCAAACGCAATAACACGAACGAATCGGATCATATAGCACTGCGTAACGGTTTTCGTTTCGGTTTGCGCCTGCGTCTCAATTCATTCGACAAATAAACTTCTGTTCGTTTCTACGTAAATGGTTATTATCGATTTATCGTATAACGTGGAACCAGAAATATAAAGATGTTTTAGTTGAACGGACATATTTGTTTCGTCTTAAGATCAATATTATAATTATTAGCGGAGAGAGGATCGCCCCTAGAAAAATTCTCTATCCTTGTCTAACTCGTTTCTGTATCGGTAAATACCTCGACGAGTTATCCTTGGTGATAAGCACGACTACCGACGATACATCACCATCTTCCGATAAGAATTAGGCAAAAATGAATCGCACAAATCAAAATTCTACTCGAATCACTGAAATTCTCTATTGCACACTGAAGTAAGAAAAAACTAATGAAATTTCAATAACTAACACAGGACAGTCCTTGCACCTCAACATTCTGAAATACCGATCGTGTAAAAAATCCGAAGATTTGTTATGCCCTATAACAAATAAGTATGTACTTAAGTACTTATGTATTATATACATATAGATAAAGCGGTGAGTTTATGTAAAAATTCGTCTTTTATTAAATTTGCAATATACATAAGGATACATATTGGATCGCGCGTGGGTAGATGTGACTTTCTTATTCGTAATTGCTAATATTGAAATGTTATTCTATCGTTATTAGCTGATCAACGATCAACAGCGGGACAATAATTATTCGATCGGGAAATGATCGATTTTGCGTTAGATGAATGAGAAATGCGTCGAGCCTTTATTTGACCAATTTACTACATACTATACTCTATGTACTGTGTATTCACCGCGTGGGTTGTTCCATTAACGATGCACCCAGCAATTACGGGTGTATTTCTGAGTTAGTTAGGAATTTTAGTGGACGTAGATAGGAAGGAAAGTGAAACGAAGAGAGAGAAAAGTGGACGATCGCGAGTGTGCGATAGAACGTAGGTAGATAAAACGATAACTTTTTTCAGATATATTGGGCATACGTACAGAGACATATAAATACAAGTAGAAAGGAAGAATGTGTATACGGGTATCGAAAGGGTGGTCTGGTCATTGTCATCGCTAGCACCGGCATAACGTCGCGGGGGTGATAGTGGTGTCCCCGATTGACAATAGAAAATGATTCAGTTGTACTATTGTAATAAGAAGAAAAGAGAATAAAATCGGCGCGGTTCGACTACACAGACAGGTACAGGGGATATTTAATAATACGAGTAACATCGATCAGAAACATCGATAAGAAATGGCCTAATCGGTAGGCTCTGGTCCGCAAAACGTTGGGTATTATTTAGACGGTGTAGGACACACGTGTCCGTCGAAACGTATGTACTTAAGTTAAATACTTGTAAGTGTCTCGTTCGTGTCGTTCAGGTCGCGTGTTCGGCTTCGGACGAAAGCCCTCCGCTGTCGTTCACGAAGGGTTCTTCTTCGAGGATTACGTAGATGGACGGATAGTCATCTCTTTCTCTCTCTTCTTCTTCTATCGTTTCTACCATTTCCTTATTCTTTATCGAATTGGTCCTTTCGATTGCTGCAGTCGTCGGTCCTCTCGTTCCTCGATCTCCCTTCGAAAGAAAGAAAGGGAGGAAAGGAAGATTGTGGCGGGGTTGATGCGATCTTTGAGAAAAGCAGAGGACGGAATCGTGAAAAGGAGGGGAAAAAGCGGGTGCGAGTGGGGAGGTTCGATGTACAGAGGAGATACATAGCGTCTCCTTTCAACACTGTGCGTTTCTTTCATTTTCGGTTGGGAAAACGTTCCAAATATGTCGATAGGTACATATTACGTATGTAAGTATGTAAGTATGTAGTTTGTGGTTGTTTGCGCGTACGCGAACGCTACGCAGTAAGTAACGACGCGGTTCGACGCGGCTCGCAGAAATTTCTTTCTGCTCAATGGACGGGAGATTATTACGTTATTAACATTATTAACACTGCTCGAATATTAACACGATTCGCCGGCCGATTCATCTTCCGTGAAAACGGCAGCGCCGACTTGGTCCGACGAACGATCACACGTTTCGGCCCTTTCCGCCCTGTCTCTCTCTCTCTCTCTCTCTCTCTCTCTCTCTCTCTCTCTCTCTCTCTCTCTTTCTCTTTCTCTCTCTCTTTCTATAATACGACAGAGGTGTCTTGAGGTGTCTGGGTTAGATCACGAACTGGTGAATTGGTGAAATTCGGAGGAAGGGATTCCCACTTTCGCCTACGAATACCACACCTACGCGCGCGGTAGAGCAATGTATCGGTCGAGCGCGACCGTGGCGTAATATAGAAGAACCGAACCGTGCGGACGTGCATGCGTGCGTGCGTGCGATGTAATTATCGTTCGTGCTGTCATTGATGTCCGAGGTGGTGTCGACGACGACGACGACGACGACGACGACGACGACAACAACAACAACAACAACGACAACAGAAACAACAGCAACAACAGCAACCGCAACAACAACGAGGAAACACACGAAGCATGCGAAGAGAAGAGGGACCGATAAAGCGATTGCACGACGGTACGCAGCAGAGAGAACGATCGAATCGTTCGGTATCGTTGGAGGGGAGAAATGGCATAAAAAAAGAAGTCTTTGGATTAGGTTAAAAACACCGAACTGGACATTTCGTCAATTCGCAGGCCATCCGAATGAATCGAGAGGAAGACGGAGGGAGGGAGGGATAAAAATATTCGCAGGCCAATACGTGGCGGTGGTCCCTGGCAATGGAAAATCCAATGCGATCGAAGAAAGAGGAGGGGAGAGAGGAAAACTGCGCATCGTTCGGAGGCTTGGTATGCATTTAGGGTTGTTAGAGAACGTGCAAGTTTTCGCAACTCTTCGACTTGCTGTCTCTCGCCCATACCTTACCCAACAAGTTTCGCACTTTCAGACTGGTACTTGTACGACTACCGCGATACTTTTTCGGCGAATTATTCTCCGAGCAAGATCCCAAAGGTGATTTGCTACGATTCTTTCGCGACCTCTTTCGGAACAGGTCCCTCGTTCTTTCAGGATTCTCCAGCTTGAGGCGAATTTGCGTAAGCAGGCCGACGAGAAGCTCGTCCACGTTATGATTAATTCCGACGGATGTCTCGATAAATTTGCAGTCGTAGGACGTGGCCATAGATTTGCCTTCTGCAAGAAAGAAAGAGGTCGAGAGGTGGTTGGACGCGGTCGCTCCGCTCTACGCTCGCTTGCGTACTCATTTACTTACGTACGGGGTAACCCCGTAGAGAAATGGAACGGATATAGCGGGTGGTAGGTGGTGGGTGGAGGGTGGTGGATGGTGGGTGGTGAGACGCTCGGACGCTTCCAAGGACTCTAACGAATTTAGCTAAAGCAGGGAAGCGGCGGCGGCGGTGGCGGTGGCGGTGGCGGCGCCTCCTCTTACCTTCGGTTGAAACCAATCGACTGCGAACGAGGTCGACTTTGTTTCCAACAAGGATCACCGCTCGTGCCGACACGTAATCGCTGCGCCAAAGCGTTTGCAAAACTTCTTCGGCCACGCGTACCGAGGCTCGATCGGTCGTCGAGTAGACGACGCAGTAAGCGTGCGGTTCGTACGTGGTTATGCAAGTTTCCGGCTGCAAATCAAAGAAAAATAAAACAAAATCTGGCCAATCGTCTCGTCTGCGTGTCGTCGTTTCAACGAAATCTTTCTCCTTCTCTCTCCGTCTCTCATTCACTCGCTCGTTCGCTCACTTCGAGGCGATCGATCGCTGGACCTATTTACGGTTGACCGATAGTTACGGCTCGATGCCCCTCAATCGCTGCTCACAATCAGGATGGCTCGGTGAAGCGAGCGAGCGAGCGAGCGTGCGTCTCTCTTCTTCTCCCATTCTTTCGCTTATTAACTGTTCCTATCGCTTTTCGCAACGCAATCTTCTCCCATCTCGCTTTGATCGTTCGCGCCTCGTGAATCGGAGAAGAGAACTTCTCGATCGTACACTCCCTTTCTACGATAATTACCGCGCAACAACGAACAACCTACCGTCATCTCGGCGGTAGAGTGGTCGATAAAAGTCAACTCGGATTCCTCTCCGGCCAGGAGAACGCTCACGGTTTTCTCGCCCGATTCGTCGTCTGCAACGGAAAATACGGGGATAGCGGCAAAGAGGCTTTCGCACTTTCTTTCCCCACTTACCGATCGATGTATCGTAAGCGTGAAGATATTCCGACGTCATAAACTGGGATACCAGCGAGCTTTTCCCCACGGCTGATGCTCCCAGCATCAGAACGCGATACGGAGTTGGTCCCTGAGACGCGCTGCTTTCGCGGGAGCTCGCCAACGAGCCTGCTGCGGAGTTCCTCGCCGAGCCAGGATACGAAGCCGTCAAGTGTTCCGTGCTGCACCGCCGTTGGTAGACGCACGCCACGCCACACGTCACGAGAGGAAGCGATAAAAGGACGAAAGAGAAGAAAGAGGAGAACGAGAGTGTGTGAAAGAGAAAGAGAGCGAGAGAGAGAGAGAGAGAGAGAGAGAGAAAGAAGGAAAGAAAGAAAGAAGCGTGTAATCGAGAGACTCGTTAACGGTATGCGACGACCTGCGTCCTTCTCCAGCTACCTCTCTGTCGTCCAGCTTCGGTTTCTTCCTTTTTCCACCAATAGCGTTCAGATTCTACTCTAAGGTCCAACACGTGTGTCTACGTCGCTGAAACGCTCAATGCTGCACGTAAACTCACGCGTTCGATTTAGAGTGGAACCGGCGAGTAAATGGGAGCCGCCGCTTTATTTCTTCTTCTCCTTTACTTGGTTCGTTCGTTCGTTCGTTCGTTCGTTCGTTCGTCCGTTCGTTCGTTCGTTCGTTCGTTCGTTCGTTCGTTCGTTCGTTCGTTCGTTCGTTCGTTCGTCCGTCCGTTCGTCCGTCCGTTCGTTCGTTCGTTCGTTCGTTCGTTCGTTCGTTCGTCCGCTCGTTCGTTCGTCCGTTTGTTCGTTCGTGCGAGTCCTGTGGAGAAAGGAAAGAACACACACGGGGAGGGGAGGAGATTGAAAAGAGGGAAATCTCACCTCGAGTTGCTCGAAGCGACGCTATTGTTGGATCGCGATCTCCGACTTTTCAAAGAGTCCCCTCGGTTCACCACCCCTTTACCGGTTATGCTGAAATGTCGGAGCCTGTAGTACTCTTCCTCGACGCCGGTGTTCGGCATGCTCGCCACTCTCGACCTTTGTTGCGGAAGACACAAGTAATTCGGCCGGCCGGACGAGCGACTTCCGGGAGCCTTCACCGACTGCGATCGGCTGTGATGTGGGCTGCCGTACCTAGACGTCATCGTTCCGTTCTTTTTTTCATCTACTCGCGGTCCTCTCGCGGCGATAGAAAACGGCAATGAGAACGAACCTCATCTCGAAGTCGTGTATCTCCTGTAGCGTCAACGTGTTCGCAACGTCCAACAGCTGCCTCATATTCTCTTCGCGGCGCCTCACGTCCAGCTCCGGGTGCAGCAGTATCGTCGCGGCCCCGGCCGTTCCGTCCAACGAGAGGGACGGTTGCTGAACTACGATCGTCGCCGCTTGCGTCGATCTCTTATTTCCACTGGCATTGCCTCCTTTTCGGTATTAGAAAGTAGAGAAAGATCCGTTATCCCCCGTTTGATCGCGACACACGCGAAAAGAGCATCTCCGAGCACGGACTCTTCTCTCTTTTCTCTCCTTCCGCTCCTCAAACGCCTTCCTTCGTTTCTCTTTTCCCATCCCCGATCTGTCCGCGCCCTCTTCTCTCGTATCCCACGCGATCGATCGAGGAACCGCACCGACATACTCTCTTCCTTCTCCATCTCCATCTCCACCTCCTCTTCCTCTTCCTTCATCACCATTTTCTGCCGTTTCCGGTCCCCGCTATCGCGTCTCTACTTTCCCACCGTCCCACGAAATCGATCCTTCCAATTATCGACACGACAGGGGACAGTCGGTTGATTCGATCGAGAAAAAGAGCGATGCCGGGAGAGCCTTTTTCGCAAGGTGTTATCAAGCTTTGGACGTGTACACGTGCATCTGTTCAAGCAGAATTGCCGCCCTCTTTCGCCCTAGCCTGCCTCCTCTTTATTCTCTCTTCGTTTCGCGTTACCCGTCGATACTTCGGGAACACGTGCATCTTTAGACACAACGGGTCGTTGGGAATATCGATTAATCGGTTCGAACCGAATATCCGAGGACTGGTGGAAAGAGATAGACAAGGCTAAAGGTGAAACGGAAGCAAGGGAGTACACGCGGAAGAACGGACGAACCGGAGAATATCCGAGTCGGCGGATATGCCGAGAAAAGGTGAACAGCAACAGCAATAGCGGCAACAGTAGCGGCGGCGGCGGCGGCGGTAACAACGGCAATAGCGGCAGTGGCAGCAACAACAACAACAACAACAACAACAACAACAACGATGCCGGCGGCGACGACAAGGCGGCAGGATAGTGGTCGGAGTTGAAAGTTGACGGAAGGAAGACGATCTGTTCCCTTTCGATAAAGGAGGCGAAAAGAAAATACGTAGCACGGGAGGCAGGGCGGCAATTCGATTCAGAAGTTGCAATCGGGTCGCTATCACCTACGTTACTTTAGCCAATCGACCAAACATGCGCTCTCGGTAATCACAACACCCCCATCTTCCCAACTTCCGAGAGAATAGAACGATACGCGACCGAGCAACTTGCGTGGGATGTCAATGTGATCGACCATTCTCGCCTCCTCCAGAGATTCCTCCTTCTCCTCCTCCTCTTCCTCTTCCTCCTTCGTACGCTTTTCGCTATTTTTCAATTCGTTCCTCGGACAACGTCATCCTTCTAGAAACACGAACAAAACAATTCCCCGCTCGTTCATGATCGAGGAGAGAGAGAGAGAGAGAGAGAGAGAGAGAGAGAGAGAGAGAGACAGAGACAGAGACAGAGACAGAGACAGAGAGAGGTACGGCACGGTAAGCAAGAAAGGCTGCAGAAAGAAGGGAAAACGTGGCGACTAAAAGTGCCGGAAAGATGCGACCAATGGAAAGTAATCAGCTAAAAGAAGATAACGCAGATAGCATTTGTAAGTGGATAACCGGAATGTTTTGGAGCAAATACAAGTAAACGGTCTGAAAGTGTAGAGCGGCAAGGGGCGAAGACCCTGAGGTGACCGGCGCAAAGTGCGTCTCGCGGACAAGACTACTTGGGTAAGTATTTAAGTAAGTACGTACGAACCGAGAGAGCACCGGCCGAATCCGACAACGACGCCACGCGCGTGTATGTAGGTACAGTGATATGCGTTAGTTCGATCGTCCCTTTCGACGAGTTTCGTCGGGGGGATTCGGTTCGGATCTCTCGGTTTCGAGGAGCAAACGTCTCGGAGCACAATCAGCTTTATACCTATTGCGCAAAACGGGAAAAAGAGCCTGACCCATGAATGAATGGTTGAAACGAGGGGATGCGATTCTGAAAGAAAACAACATAATTGATATTCTTAACGAGAACAGCTTTCGTCGAAACGGTCTCTACATCGCCCGCATCTCTGTTCTTTCGCGTTTCTCTAACTTTGCCGCGCAAATCGCTGCGATCGGAGGGGGGTGGGAGAGAGAACAATTCACGGATCGATCCTACTACGTCCAGCCTAGCCGCGGTGAGATTGAGCGGTCGATAAAGATAAACAGCGACAACAGGAGGGCATCGTATCGTATCGTTTCTTATCGTTTCGTATCGTTTCGTATCGTTTCGTATCGTTTCGTATCGTTTCGTATCGTTTCGTATCGTTTCGTATCGTTTCGTATCGTTTCGTATCGTTTCGTCGTTGAGAATCGCTCGTCTCAGCTTACCGGCGGCTTTTCCTCGAGACTTGCTGCCACTGGTTCTACATGAACCGTCGCTCGATCGGTCGTTAGTCGGCCGAGCTCCGATCAACGATATGTCCAAAGGATTCGTCGTCACGTTCACGCACGGTCTCCCCTGTCCGTCTGCTGTCCGATTCCCGCCCTCGCGGGATCTGCCGACGATCAACGTCAGCATCGGATTCAGGGGGCCGTTCGCGTCCGGCTGGCCGGCGTCCACGGAACCCCTGACGGGTGTGCTGAAAGTGGAAACACGGCCGTGGTGAGCGGCAAGCGAGGGAGCGGTGGCGAGCAACCGCGACGTACGAACCTGAAGAAATCGGCGGTTCGAAGGTCCGGAAGTGGCGGAGTTCTTCCCGAGACGGCAGAGAGCCTGGCGGTGGCGGTGGCGGTGGTAGCGGCCGTGTCGTTCATCGCGACGTGGATGCCAAGCGGTATCGCGTCGATCGGTACCGCCTCGGTCTCGTCCAGAAGATTCGAGATACTGGTCGCGCGAACGTCCAGACAACCGATCGGGATCTCGGATCTGAACGCGCCGCCAGTCGACAACGCCAAACACGCTTTCGCTCCCTTCTCCTCCCCGGTGGAACACTCGCCGGATGGAGAGGAGTCAGAGGGTGGCGGCGCCGGAGGCGGAGGCAGCGCCGGTGGCTGTGCCTCCGTCGTCACAGCCAGAACCGGAGATATTAACTCGGAGTGTGGAGCAGTGCTCGAAGATGCACCGGGCGGTGACATCTCCGACGGAATGTCCATCAGATCGAAGCTGTCGTCCGGTTGCTCCCCGTCCGTTGTCGTCACCTACGAACAAATTCCGAGAGCTGGAGAGTTGTCCGAGAGCACAGGCTCCGCCGACAACCTCTTACCATCGTGAGCATCGTGTTCGCGCTGTCCGTGCTGGTGTTGATCGTAGTTTCGGAAGCGGTACTCGAGCCCATGACAACGACTTTCGGAACGGTGCGGCAACTTCGACTCCCGCCGGCCGATTTGAAGTGCAACCTTCGTAAAGCGGACGCAGCGTGAGACAACAGATCGGTTTCGCGCGAATTCTCCGCTCCATTGTGACGATGCGCCGCGGTGTTCGAGACGCGCGATTGCGACTGCGACTGCGACTGCGACTGAGACTGCAGTTGCGGCTG